GCACCGGTGGGAATGCTGCAGGTTTTCCCCAGGTCACTCCCGGCCTGTGCCTTTGTCGTAGGACCGTGGAGTCATTTAGGTCGGAAAAGATCCATAAGATCACCGAGTCCAACCGTTAGCCCAACACTGCCAAGTCCAGCACTAAACCATTCAACACCTCTGGGGATGGTGACTCAGCCGCTTCCCCGGGCAGCCTGTTCCAGTGCTTCACAGCCCTTCTGGCCAAGAAATTTTTCCTGATACCCAATTTAAATCTCCCCTGGCACAACTGCAGGCCAGTTCCCCTTGTCCTATCACTTGTTACTTGGGACAAGAGACCAACACCTGCCTCACTACAACCTCCTTTCAGGTAGTTGTAGAGAGCGATAAGGTCTCCCCTCAGCCTCCTCTACTCCAGACTAAACCACCCCAGCTGCTCCCCACAGGCCTTACCTCATGCATTTATTTACACTGTTCTACAAAAGCAGATGCGTGTGTTGCTCCCTCTGCGATCCTCTTTGTAGCTTGAAGTTTGTGTGGATCCCTGGGGTGTGCTGTTCCAGAGTACAGGAGCTGTGCCCTTTAACATCCAGCTGTCCCCTGTGGGCTTTGTTAAATGTCGGTCAGAGCTTTTGCCCACCTACACTCACCATATCCACCTGTAAGATTAAACTTGCTTTCCACATGTGTAGGTGGAGATGGATGCAGGAAAGCTAAAGGATTATCTAAGTAATATTTTTTTTTCCTCAAAAAATGAGCAGTGAGTGCTGGGAAGAGGGGTGTTTCTCCTTCCCATGTTCCAAAGAAGCTGCCTGCCCGAGGGGGTCTGACACCACAGGCGAGTTGCACGGGCAGTGAGCAGCTGGTAGCTTTGGTACTCCGCTAAAAGAGCTGCATCACTTTGTTGAAGGCTCTGAGGTACAGAAACAGTTATGTGGTAAGATAGCAAGGCTGTACACTTCTGGTGCACTAGTGCTGATCTTGTATCCACTGTGTGCATAATTGCAGCTGTCACTGATGGGGAAATTCAGTTGCACGGCCTCTTGGCTCTAAGACTGGGAAAGCCCTGAAATAACAGTCTCTGCTTCCTAGTGAGGTTTTGAAATTTGATGGTAGTAAATCACTTAGGCGTTCTGTTAGTGTTAAATTAGATTATTTACTTTGCACATTAGTGTGCATAGATCTCTTTATTCTGTGATCTGCTTATGATTGAGTTTCACCAGTTCCTTTAGAAAGTCAAGGTCTTTTCCAGGAGCAAGATCAGAGGTGAAGTTGAAAGTTCTACTCTGACAAAAAAGGGAAAACCATGTGTAGTATTTCAGTATATGTTCACTGAAACCTTGTTGTCATAGTATTTCTTCTGTCTTTGGTTTTACTAGGCATAATAGATGTTGTCAACTCCCAAAAAGACACTTTCTTCAGTTTTATTGCACTGAGGTGTTATTTATATAGTCTGAGTTCAGGCTGATGTAAAGATTATGAACCTTTTTCTTTAAAGATTTTTCATTTTGCTTTTTGTTTACTAATGCTGACAGTTTTGGCTTACGTGTTTTTCCTTAAGTGAAAAGTTAAACTTTTTGAGGACAATGTGGAGCATGTTTCTTAAAATGGCTTAATTACGTTTGACTTTTCTGAACCACCTGAAGGAAGTTTCCATCTTACTGAAAAGACACAACATTTTAAACTTTAGCTTGCAATACGATAAGGAAAAAAACCCTCCTTTTTAACTTAAGAAAGTGTTAGTGGTGTAATTGTCAGAAAGGAAATATGAAGGCCTACTTGAAAAACATAATATGGTTCATATCTTGCAGACTCTTTGTCAAAAGGGTTAAACTTAACTGAGACAGATTAGAAACTGAAGTTTGGTTTCTCCTGTGTGACTTTCATATGACTAGTAATAGAAATGGTAATATTTCTGCACAGCACTTACCATCAATAGGCAGCTTAGAAATGCCAGCTGTAATTAAAATACTTGGATATAGAAAAACACTTGACTATTATCATGATTAAGCAAAAATAAATTAAGTAGCGTTGCTATTTATGTACTATTTTGGTGCACCAGTAATATAATATTTTATTAATTAATAAATTTATTGTTTATTTAAGGCTCATTTTAAACTCTTGTTTCCTGCCACTGCAATTTTCAGACCAAATCTAATTTTCTGATGAATTACTTTGAAGATTATTAATTTTGCAACTTTTAAAGAGTCAAAATTTTTTATGAAGTATTAGAATATAGTTTGTGTGAAACTTTAAGTGAGTGAATGGCATTCCCTTTCAGCTCAGTGGGCACAGGAGTGAATGCTGATTCGGTCAGTACTGCCCTATGCGGATTCCTCCTTTGGGCAGGGAGCAGGAAGGGACCCC